ACCACCACCAACACCACCACCAACACCACCACCACCAACCCACCACCACCAACAACACACCACCACCACCAACAACAACACCACCAACCACCACCCCACCAACCACCACCACCACCACCACCACCACCAACCACCACCACCACCACCAACACCACACAACACCACCAACACCACACCACCACCAACACCACCACCACCACCACCACCACCAACACCACCACCACCAACACACACCACCACACCACCAACACCACCAACACCACAACACCACCACCACACAACACACCACCACCACCACCACCTACAACACCACACCACCACCAACAACAACACCACACCAACAACAACCTTCTTCTTCTTTCTTGTTCGTCCATCAAAGTTGATGATGACCAAGGCACGTTTGTCATTATATTGGGTTTTGATGAGTGCGCAGATGGCTGAAGAGGCCAATCCGAGCCCGGAATTCCCTGTGGCACACTGGACAGGTCAGGGAGGATGTAGAGCTCTGAGTGCAGCCCACGTCCTTCCTTGGTAGATTTGCGCTGCTGCCTCTTCAAGATGGCACAGGAGCGTCTCCTACTCTCACAGAGGACTGCACCACCACCAACAACACCACAGTGACCCCACCTACGAACCCGCTAGACAACCCCAGTTCGACTCCCGCCCACGGCCACTAACACCAATGAACAACAGCCGGTCCTGGGTCTCCCCCTAGGTCGACTCGCCTCAAATTAATACCTGGGTGAGGTGTGGTGGTAAACATCAGCGCTGGGGAGACAAAGGCGGCCGGGCGTGGTGCTGGCCACCCTCTCGTGTGCCGTTCCGGCCTTCAGCGCTTGCTTATGGTTGACCAGCAGCTGTTCAAGCCGAGCCTGACTCTGCCGCTGATGAGACACTCAATGTTGAAACTAAACGATGTTCTACTTGACCAGGGTTATAGGCCCACTGAGCTGCCCACAACTGACAGCGCAACGAAGTGGCTTGTCACGTGGACATTCATAGCAGCCAAATACTCTGAAACGCGTGACGTCGATTCTGAATGTGGAGGGGAAAACCGGAGGAGCCGGAGAAAACTCCACGCGACCACGGGAGAGAGACACCGCAAACTCCAAATACACAGCAGCAGCAGCAGGGTCGGAATGTAACCCACGACCTTCTGCATACCAGGCGAGGTAGTTAACATCTCACCACCACGTCCAAATCGGTTGCTGTTGCCTATGGATATCCGGCAGTTCACCTGCTTCGATTCATGCCGAGCCTGACTGCTGCTGCTGCTGCTGATGATGAGACACTGACTGTCGAAACTTGTCCAGAGTTGTTTGTGCTGAAGCAACGCAGCAGCTGATTCCGCAACTGCCCGCGTGACATGCGGGTGACTGATGGGATGTGTCAAGACATCACTGCTTGTGAGAGCCATAATGCCTGCTGACCTGTTGTGCAAGTTGTATTTTCAACGATGTAGCGGAAGTACTATATTTGGCATACGGTATGTAAATAAATAAATATGAAAACCCTGCCAGCACAGTCTATAACCCAGGACCATGAACGAGATTGTAATCGTGAAAAAAAGTATTTTTATTCATATTTGTAAGAATACAGTGAGGGAAAAAGTATTTGATCTCCTGCTGATTTTGTACGTTTGCCCACTGACAAAGAAATGATCAGTCTATCATTTTAATGGTAGGTTTATTTGAACAGTGAGAGACAGAATAACAACAACAAAATCCAGAAAAACGCATGTAAAAAATGTTATAAATTGATTTGCATTGTAATTAGGGAAATAAGTTTTTGACCCCCTCTCAATCAGAAAGATTTCTGGCTCCCAGGTGTCTTTTATACAGGTAACAAGCTGAGATTAGGAGCACACTCTGAAAGGACGTGCTCCTAATCTCAGCTTGTCACCTGTATAAAAGACACCTGCTCACAGAAGAAATCAATCAATCAGATTCCAAACTCTCCACCATGGCCAAGACCAAAAAACTCTCCAAGGATGTCAGGGACAAGATTGTAGACCTACACAAGGCTGGAATGGGCTACAATACCATCGTCAAGCAGCTTGGTGAGAAGGTGACAACAGTTGGTGCGATTATTCGCAAATGGAAGAAACACAAAAGAACTGTCAATCTCCCTCGGCCTGGGGCTCCATGCAAGATCTCACCTCGTGGAGTTGCAATGATCATGAGAACGGTGAGGAATCAGCCCAGAACTACACGGGAGGATCTTGTCAATGATCTCAAGGGAGCCGGGACCATGTCACCAAGAAAACAGTTGGTAACACACTACGCCGTGAAGGACTGAAATCCTGCAGCGCCCGCAAGGTCCCCCTGCTCAAGAAAGCACATATACATCCCCGTCTGAAGTTTGCCAATGAACATCTGAATGATTCATAGGACAACTGGGTGAAAGTGTTGTGGTCAGATGAGACCAAAATGGAGCTCTTTGGCATCAACCCAACTCGCCGTGTTTGGAGGAGGAGGAATGCTGCCTATGACCCCAAGAACACCATCCCCACCGTCAAACATGGAGGTGGAAACATTATGCTTTGGGGGTGTTTTTCTGCTAAGGGGACAGGACAACTTCACCACATCAAAGGGACGATGGACGGGGCCATGTACTGTCAAATCTTGGATGAGAACCTCTTTCCCTCAACCAGGGCATTGAAAATGGGTCGTGGATGGGTATTCCAGCATGACAATGACCCAAAACACACTGCCAAGGCAACAAAGGAGTGGCTCAAGAAGAAGCACATTAAGGTCCTGGAGTGGCCTAGCCACTCTTCAGACCTTAATCCCATAGAAAAGCTGTGGAGGGAGCTGAAGGTTCGAGTTGCCAAACGTCAGCCTCGAAACCTTAATGACTTGGAGAAGATCTGCAAAGAGGAGTGGGACAAAATCCCTCCTGAGATGTGTGCAAATCTGGTGGCCAACTACAAGAAACGTCTGACTTTTGTGATTGCCAACAAAGGTTTTGCCACCAAGTACTAAGTCATGTTTTGCAGAGGGGTCAAATACTTATTTCCCTCATTAAAATGCAAATCAATGGATAACATTTTTGACATGCGTTTTTCTGGATTTTGTTTGTTATTCTGTCTCTCACTGTTCAAATAAACCTACCATTAAAATTATAGACTGATCATTTCTTTGTCAGTGGGCAAACATACAAAATCAGCAGGGGATCAAATACTGTTTTCCCTCACTGTACATGCAATTTTGTTTGTCTCTTAAATGTGATTCTTAATTGTTGTTAGTTCAAATGTTAGTTTAGAAACACTCAGTATGCACGTTGTCGGGGTGAAAAGTGGGCGAATATTTTTGCCAATCCTGACCCAGCAGGCACAACAAACGTAAAGACTCAGACCCCGAGACCCGGTCTCCCTGAGACTCACTCTGACCCTGAGACCCGGTCTCCCTGAGTCTTACCCAGACTCTGACCCTGAGACCCGGTCTCCCTGAGTCTCACCCAGACTCTGACCCTGAGACCCGGTCTCCCTGAGTCTCAATGGAGACTCACCACGGGTAGAAGGGAGTGTGTGTAGCGCTCACCGCTGCACCACCGCTTCCCACCATCACCACCACCATCACCACAACCATCACCACCACCAGCACCAGTCTGTTGGTGCAAGTGCTGTTCGCACGCAGCATCACCTATGAACGCCGCACTGTGGCACACGAGGGGTGGGTGACCAGCAGCACTCCTGCCCGGCCGCCTTTGTCTCCCCGGTGGCCGATGCTACTACATTCGTGTTGGTGGCTGCGAGTGGGAATCGAACTCGGGTTGTATACCGGGTTGTTTTGCTGGTGGTCGACTCAGCCTCAATCGATTACCTGGTGCAGTGGATAGAAAACCATCGTCGCTGGGGAGACAAAGGCGGCCGGGCGTGGTGCTGGCCACCCACCCCTCGTGTGCCACAGTGCCAGCAGCCTCCATCGGTGTTGCTCCGTGCGGACAGCACTTGCCCCAACAGTCTGGCCAAGGCTATACGGGGGATCTTTGTCTTTGCATATCTATGTGATGTATTTCTATGTGTGTGTGTATCTCTTTATGTATCTGTGTGTGTTGGACAGCTGCCTACCGAATAGCACACACAGTGACACAGCACACACAGCACACACAGTGACACACAGTAAGCACACAGTACACACACACAGTGACACACAGTACACACACAGTGACACAGCACACCGCACACACAGTAAACACACATCACACAAAGTACACACACAGCACACAGTACACACACAGTACACACAGTACACACACAGCACACACACAACACACGCACACAACACAAACAGTACACACACAGCACACACACACAGCACACACACAATGCCTGCACCTCCAATTACGACTGCGAACAAAAGAAAAGCGATCTTCGTAGGCTCACCGCATTCTCCCAGTCTGCAATTAACAATGCTTGTTCATGATTCTGACCTCTGGAGTTTGAGGTTACAAGGCAGGGCTCACCATCATCATCGCTCGCACAGCAAACCGCTCGAGGCGTCTCGCCAAAACCTGAAATGCAAGTTCACGAGTCAACTCTACAACTCGACAGTTGACTGTTATATTTATTTCTCAGCTGCTGCGTTTATGTTTTTCAGAAGCGACCCGAGATTTCCGCAAATGATAGCTCAACGCAGCGGATTATCAGCATCACTACCATCACCGTCATCATCACGCAGACATTTACAGTATTCACTGGAATCGCGTGATGTTATTGATTCAAAATGTGGAGGGGGGGGGGGAGGAGACCCGGAAAAAAATCCGCGTGACCACAGGTAGAGAGACGCCGCAAAACTCCAAATATGCAACACGACCTGCTGAATACCAGTTATTTATTTATTTTATTTATTTATTTCATTTGATTTATTTCGTATAACACTGTGAGCCATTCGGCGAGGTATTCAACATCTCGCCACACGCCAAAATACTATAGCAGGCGTGGCCAGGGTGGGGGTCGAACCCACGAACCCCCCCCTTGTATACCAGGCGAGGTAGTCAACATCTCCCAAGTCACCTTGACGCCTCATGTGTTGGTGGGGGGGGGCACTTGGCTATAAATAATCTCGGCTGTGCCGTCGTGTAGATTGGAACCAAGCAACCGACCCCAACGCCCACATCGCAGAGAGAGAGAGCGAGAGCGAGCGACACGCAGCTGGCACCAACCTGTCTCTGGTGACGTCTCGTGCCAGGCTAGGTGCACCTTTCAAGGTCGTTGTACGCCAAGTGTCTCGAGTTTCACGGTCAAGGTAAGGATCTGGCTTCTGTACTGGACATGCGGACGAGAGCGTCTGAGTTTGTCGGAGTCCTCCTGCAGTGTAACGAGTCTGATAGGACATGGGAGCGAGATGTTGACTACCTCGCCTGGTATGCAGGAGGTCGTGGGTACGATCCCGACCCTGACGCCTGCTGCTGTATGTTTGGAGTTTGCGGTTTCTCTCTTCTCCGGGTCCTCTGTGTATGTATGCATCCATCTGTGTGTGTGCATCTCTCTGTGTGTGTATGTATGTATCTGTGTGTGTATGTATCTCTGTGTGTGCCGTTCCGGCCTTCATAGGTGCTCGCTAACAGCACTTGCCCCTACAGTCTGTTGAGGCTATACGGGGGATATTTGTCTGTGTTAGACAGTACACACAGCGTTGTATCTGTGAGTGTATGCATCTGTGTGCATGTATCTGTGTGTATCTGTGTGTATGTATCTGCGTATGTATCTCTGTGTGTATGTATCTGTGCGCTAAATGTTACCAGGCCAACTGGGCCTCAAATGTCGTAGCTGGTGCGATGTGTAAACGTCGGCAATGGGGAGACAAAGGCGGCCGGGCGTGGTGCTGGCCACCCACCCCCTCGTGTGCCACAGTGCCGGTAGCCTTTATAGCTGCTACTCGTGAATAGCACTTGCCCCTCCAAGGCTACACGCGGGATCTTTGTCACCACGACGCTCTCGTGCCAGGCTAGGTGCACTTTCAAAGCCATCGCGTGAAGTGCTCGCTGCTGCTGCTGGCAGGTCACACACAAGCACAAAGATCCCCCGTGCACTGCCGGAGTAAGATAGTGCGGGGCCTGGCGCTTATGCTATAACGGGGCCCTAAATAAACACAAATATTAAAACACAATTGTTTTACGTGCACAGTAAAGTTATTGTATTTCTCATTTGCTATACAGCCGGATAATACGACAAATCGCTAACCTTAAACACCCAGTCGTTCGTAAAAGTTGAAGGGCAGTATAGTACTATAGTAATAGAGCAAGTGCAGAATCACTGAACCGGAATTGAAAGCTTGACAGCATTTAGCGCGGGGCCCTTGAAAGTGCGGGGCCCGTAGCATTTGTAGCTACGACACGTGTAGCTGCTGCACGTGTCGCAGCTACAACACGTGCTGCAGCTACTACACGTGCAGTAGCTACTAGACGTGTAGTAGCTACTAGACGTGTAGTAGCTACAACACGTGTCGTAGCTGTTACACGTGTAAGCAGCTGCGACACGTGCCGCAGCTACACGTGTAGCTACTACACGTGTAGTAGCTACTACACCACCTGCCCCCCCCAACCTGCCCCCTCACCACCTGTCCCCTCACCACCTGCATTCTCACCACCTGCCCCTCACCACCTGCCCCCCCCACCTGCTCCCCCGTGCCGTGCAGAGCTCCATGAGGCTGCAGATGTCAGCGTGGCTTGCCCTCCCCCTCCTCCTCCTCGCTTGCTGGGGGGCCCCGCGGGGGCCGAGGCCTACGGGGATGGGGCCCCCAAGGAAACCTGCGGCTCCATGACCCCGGGCCACGGGATGGCCGTCCCCAGCCTCGTCTACAGCATCAACGTCTCGGGGACGACCTTCACCAACACCTCCAGCCTCACTGGTGAGGAGGTGGGGGGGTGAGGAGGTGGTGAGAAGTGTGTGTGGGGGGGGTGAGGAAGTAGAGGGGGAGAGGTGAGGAAGTGGGGGAGGGGCTCTGCGATGATTCAGGTCGGTCACTCGCCGGCTCGCTCACATGGCGGCCAGTCACCTCCTTGTTACTCTTCTACAGCGACGACCACCGTGGTTACTGTCCTCGTTAGTGAGTGGGGTGAGTGATGGCTGGGTGAGTGATTGGGTGGATGAGTGGGTGAGTGATTGGGTGGCTGAGTGATTGGGTGGGTGAGTGATTGGGTGGATGGTTGGGTGAGTGGCTGAGTGGGTGGGTGAGTGATTTGGTGGGTGAGTGATTATGTGGGTGAGTCATTGTGTGGGTGGGTCATTGTGTGGGTGGTTGGGTCATTGTGTGGATGGTTGGGTGAGTGAGTGGCTGGGTGAATGATTATGTGGGTGAAGTGAGTCGGTGAGCGAGCGTTGCCAAATCCGCCTGCGAGTCTCTCTCGAACTCACCAGATGAGTTCGAGCTGAAGCGGTCGCAGTCAGCGAGCGCCGGCGGCTTCGCAACGCTCGCGAGTTGCATTCGCGTGGCTGCGTCTGGTGGTGACTGTGTGGGGGAAGGGGGTGGCACGACATAGAACGTGGACTCTTACCCAACATTCATCCGGGTGGCGTTTTCTCTTTACCCACCCAATTATGAGAAGTAAAAATCAATCCCTTCTTCTTCGTCTTCACGATGGCGGTCGGTGGATTGGGATTGGTGGGACCCCACCCCCCCTCCGGTGCCCCACCCCCCCCCCCGTGCCCCCCTACCCCAGTGTTCCCCCACCCCAATGCCCCCCCCGGTGCCCCCCCCACCGGTGTCCCCCCACCCCCTGGTGCCCCCCCCACCCCCGGTTCTCCCCCCACCCCCCGGTCTCGATTCGGTTGACAGTGAAGCCATTGGCGGCGTAGGAAGGTTGAGGCCGGTGGAGGCTCGACCGGCAGGGTCCCCTGGACGAGATGTTTATTGTTGACGTCGGCTGCCCGTGAGCTTGATGTGAGCACACGGAACCCCCCACCCCCTCCCCGCTTCCCCATCAGTGACCGTGAACGGAACCTACCAAGGTGTGATCATGCAGGCCCGGGCTCCAGGCTGCTCCACTCCCGTCGGGACCTGGGCCACTCCACCCGCAGACACCAAGGTCATGCAGGTATCACCACCTGGACCACCACCACCCACACCGAGCCTCACCTGGGCCACTACCACCACCACCCACACACACCGAGCCCCACCTAGACCACCACCACCCACCCACACACACCGAGCCTCACCTAGACCACCACCACCACCCACACACCGAGCTCCACCTGGACCACCACCACCACCCACACACCGAGCCTCACCTGGGCCACTACCACCACCACCCACACACACCGAGCTCCACCTGGACCACCACCACACCACCCCACACTGAGCTCCACCTGGGCCACCACTACCACCACCACCCACACACACCGAGCCTCACCTAGACCACCACCACCCACACACACCGAGCCTCACCTAGACCACCACCACCCACACACCGAGCCCCACCTGGACCACCACCACCCGTGGACACGAAAGGAATTTTAGTTCTCATAATTGGCGACTTAATGATCGGAGTGTGATATGATCACAAATCGTAACCAAATTAGTTCCTAGTTCAGCACTAACCGGTTGTGTGTCGGAGAGTAAACTCACAACGTTTACAACTCGAGCACCGTGACGATTCGAGTACCGTGACGATTCGCTGGTGGTTACAACAACAACAACAACCAGCAGCAGCCTCATCAGGCGACAGCCAGAATCGGCAATGTTGTTTTACGTTCCAACACACACCTGGTTTGCGCTGTACTAAGTCACTAATCGTTCTCGTTGTGTTTACGTGGCACAAACCTCCTTACTGACTGGCTGTGTCGGGTGGTGGCGGCGGGTTTAATGACACATTGATATATTTACGCGATCTAACACAAAAAACAAGCTCCTTTATTAGAGTTTAAGACGTAGTAGGCTTTCACGACCAATATCATCCATAATACAGGTTTTTTGGGGTTAGATCACGTAAATATATAAATGTAGTTAAATCCGCCATTACCCGATGCAGCCAATTAGTAAGGGTCGTCACATAAATAGAATGTGGCCAATTCGTCACCAGTTTTATAATTTTAGCTTGACCCCTCCCTCTCCACCTCCCTCCCTCCTATCCCCTCCCTGTTACCTCCCTCTCCTCCCCCTCCTCCCCTCCCTCCCTCTCCTCCTTCTCTTCCCTCCCCCCATTCACTCCCCCCCCCAGTGCTCGTCTGCGAGTGACACGATGACCCATAGCAGCACGACGAATAAGGTCAACTCCGTTTACATCTGGACTTCTCCCAAGAGCGGAGCGCCAGCCAGCGTCGAGTTTGTGTAAGGCTTTGGTATCTGTGTGAATGTCTGTGTGGCTTTTTTCTATGTGTGTGTTTGTGTGTGAGTGTCTTTGTTATCTGTGTGTCAGTGTGTGTGTCTGGAAGGATGCCCTGATGGTCCCCATCTTTAAGACGGGAGACCGCACAGACTGTAACAACTACAGGGGCATCTCACTCCTCAGTGTGACGAGAAAGGTCCTGGCAAGGATTATTCAACTCCGCCTTGCTAGGCACGCTGAGGAGAGGCTTGTGGAGCCCCAATGTGGTTTCAGGAAAGAGCAGTCCTGCACAGATGCCATATTTTCTGTCCGTCTGCTACAGCAGAGATGTAGGGAATTCCAACAAGACCTACATCTCTGCTTTATGACCTGGTCAAGGCCTATGATACCATCAGTAGGCCTGGGCTCTGGGTTGTTCTTCGTGCTTTCGGAGTCCCTGACCCGCTGCTCACGATCATTAAGGACCTTCATGATGGTGAGCGGGCCCGGGTAAAACTACGTGGCCGGGAGTTAGAGCCATTCCCTGGTCACCTTGGGGTGCGACAGGGATGTCCTCTGGCTCCAACATTATTTAACATTTATTTCGACCACGTAGTTCGTGAAGCCTTCAGTAACTGTACCGGAGGAATTTGCATCTGGTACAGATACAATGGGAGGCTGATCGATGCCCGGGTGCGGTCAAGGGATGGCTCCCTATTGGTCAACTATGTTACGTATGCCGATGACCTGGTAATTGCGGCTCACTCAGAGGAGAAGTTGGAGGCGCTGCTGCTGAAACTGGAGTGTGCCATTAAGAGGTGGGCCTTACCATCAGCCCCACCAAAACGAAGCACCTGCCTGGGTATTTTGTACCATCGGGCACTCCACCCCCACAACTCCCAATCGGTGATGGGGCAGTTGTGGAGAGAGTGGAGAGTTTCCCATACCTGGGCAGTGTGCTCATGGCCGGCTCCGGTTTAACAGCAGAGGTCCCACTCCGATTCAGTCGAGCGGCATTATCTTTTCATCGGTTGTGTAACGCTGTGTGGAAGCTACCTGGTCTGTCGCTCCGCACGAAGCTTCGGGTCTTCTCGGCCACAGTCATTCCCTCCCTTCGCTATGCTTGCGAAACGTGGACCCCCCTAATGGAACATCTTCTCCGGCTAGAAACATTTAGGCTGGCCTGCCTACGATCAATCCTGGGTTTAACCAGGCTGGATTGTGTGAGGAGCTCACAAATCCTCGAAAGATCTGGACAAAGTCCCATCAGTGAGCTCCTCCGGCAGGCAAGGCTGCGTTGGCTGGGCCATGTAGCCCGCATGCCCAATCACCGCATGCCCAAACAGCGTTTGTTCGACTGGATCAAGGGGGTTAAACGGGCGCAGCACGGCTAGAGAGAGATGGAGTGATGTGGTACAAGAGGATGTGGAGCTGAGTGGACATGCCGATGACTGGTACCAGCGGTGTCAAGATCGGCCTCTGTGGAGGAGGCTCGTGAAGGATGCTACTGGGCAGTTGGAGGCAGTCGCCCTCCAACAACAACGGACGGCGGAGGAGTGACGCTCACAACAACGAGCAGAGCACCTGGTGGCTAAAGCACAGCAAGTTGGCACAGTAGGGGGCACAGGTGGTACATCAGCCAGTTATCTCGGTCATCTCAGTCAGTCGACCCGTGGCACCTGGGTCTGCCCCGTGACCTCCTGCCAGCGGGCATTCGACACTTCACGTGGCCTCAAGGTGCACATGGCCTATCACAAGCGTCGTGGTGACGTCACCGCCACTTAGTGGCGTATGGCGGCTGTTGTTGTTGTTGTGTGTCTGTGTGGCTTTGTTATCTGTGTGTCGGTGTGTGTCAGTGTGCGCGTGTCTGTGTGTGGGGAGCAGTCGCAGTTACTGCGCCCCACCTCGAGTCCCGCTCACAGCCACCAACCAACACCAGTGACGGGTTAATTGGGCCTCCCCTAGGTCGACTCCGCCTCAAATGAGTACCTGGTGTAGCGGTGTGTAGTAAACATCGCTACTGGGGTCTGTTAAGGCTACACGGGGGATCTTTGTGTTTGTTTGTGATAAACCGCTGCGCCACCACTCCCCAATACCCATTCCAACTTCCTGCCATTCCCCACTAAGTGACGGTGACGTCACCACGCCGCCCGTGCCAGGCTAGGTGCACGTTGTGAGGCCACCGTCACGTGTCAAAGGCTCTCGCGGCTGGCAGGGGGAGGTCACAGGCCAGAGCCCAGATGCCACGGGCTGACTGATGCACCGTCTGTGCCTCACCATCATCACCCTCACCACCACCGCCATCATCTTCATCACCAGCACCACCACCACCACGACGATGATGACGACGATGATGATGACGAAGATGACGATGACGACGATGATGATGACGATGTGAGTTCCCGTTGTGCCCACAGGGCGACCGTTGCTCAGAACAAGGATCAGTGGATTAAGAACATCAAGTCCGCAGCCGTCACGGCCCAAGGTAGCACACACACACCCGCACACAGACTCACTCTCACACACAGACTCACTCGCACACACACACACCCGCACACAGACTCACACACACACACACACCCGCACACAGACTCACTCACACACAGACTCACTCGCACACAGACTCACTCGCACACAGACTCACTCGCACACAGACTCACTCACACACAGACTCACTCAACACACACACACACACCGCACACAGACTCACTCACTCACACACAGACTCACTCGCACACAGACTTACACACAGACTCGCTCGCACACAGACTCACATACACACAGACTCGCTCGCACACAGACTCACACACACACACAGACTCACACCCACACAGACTCACACAAAGACACAGATCCCCTGGGTAGCCTGAACAGACTGTTGGGGCAAGTGCTGTTAGCGCAGCACCTACGAAGGCCGACACTGTGGCACACGAGGGGGTGGGTGGCCAGCACCACGCTCGTCCGCATTTGTCTCCCCAGTGGCGATGTTTACTACACACCGCATCAGGTACTCATTTGAGGCTGAGTCGACCTAGGGGAGGCTCAGGACCAGTTCAGATAATCGTCACCGATGTTGGCCGTGAGCGGGAATCGAACTTGGGTCGTAGCTGGGTTCTTAGCGCAGCGTAGCGCGAACCGCTACACGACCGCCCCCCACGTAACCATCGTCTTGTGGGGAACATCGCCACTGGGGAGACAAAGGTGGCCGGGCGCGAAGGTTGACAGACCCAACCCCTCGTGTGCCACACTGCCGGTAGCCTTCCTAGGTGCTGCTGCTACTCGCTGAAAGCACTTGCCCCAACAGTCTGTTAGAGGCTACACGGTGGAACCTTTGTCAATATCTTATTAGGTCTTCTGGCTCCGCGTCACACCCACAGATCGGCCACGTAGATTCAGCTCCTGCCTTCTAAAAACAGATTAAAATTTGAGCATTAAACCGATGATGGAGTTGGAACGGTGGCGCAGTGGTTAGCGCACTGCGTTCGAACCATGGATGAAGTGACCCGAGTTTGATCGCTAACCGCTGCGCCACCACTCCCCGTTCCCGTCAGCAAATTCCTATACCGTACACTCTGCACGAACACACATACTTGCTCGCATACCTCGGCCACACGTATCCTCATAGCTTCACGCACGTTACAAAGGCGGCAGGGCGTGGTGCTGGCCACCAACCCCCTCGTGTGCCGGTAGTCGGTTGACAGCACTTGCCCCAACAGTCTGCTAAGGCTACACGGGGGACCCTGTGTCTTTTGTCTGTGTGCAGGATACAGCACCATCACCACGACCTGCGGAGCAGGACTCGGATCGACGTTCCGGTCTCCGGCCTCCATCGCGTGGACCCTGCCGCTGGGCATCATGGTCTTTATGATAGCCCGTGTCTAGATGTTGATGGCACACATTCACTCTCCCACTCACATACTCACTCTGACACTCTCACACTCACCCTGACACTCACTCTGACACTCACACACTCACTAACAGACTGTTTGGTCAAGTGCTGTTAGCGAGCACCTATGAAGGCTGGAACGGCACACGAGGGGGTGGGTGGACAGCACCACGCCCAGCCGCCTTCGTTTCCCCAGTGGCGATGTTTACACACCGCACCGGGTACTCATTTGAGGCTGAGTCATCCTAGGGGAGGCCCAGGACCGATTCAGATAATCGGTGTTGGCTGTGAGCGGGAATCGAACTCATGTCGCCGGGTTCGTAGCGCAGTGCGCTGACCGCTGCACTACCGCTCCCCACTACACACACGCTGGACACACACTGTACACACACACACACATGTACACACACACATGTACACACGTACACACACGCACGGACACAACAACCGCCATTCGCACGGAGTGGCGATGATGTCACCACGACGCTTGTGCCAGGCTATGTGCACCTTGAGGCCACATGAAGTGTCGAACGCCCGCTGGCAGGAGGTCACGGGGCAGACCCAGGTGCCACGGGTCGACTGACCGAGATAACTGGCTGATGCACCACCTGTGCCCCCTACTGTGCCAACTCCCTGTGCTTTAGCCACCCGGCGCTCCGCTCGTTGTTGTGAGCGTCGCTCCTCCGCCCTCCGTTGTTGTTGGAGGGCGACTACCTCAAACTGCCCAGTAGCGTCCTTCACGAGCCTCCTCCAGATGCCGATCTTGACACCGCTGGTACCAGTCATCGGCAAGTCCATTCAGCTTCACATCCTCCTGTACCACATCACTCCATCTCTTCTCTAGCCCGTGCCACGCCCGTTCGGCCCCCTCGATCCGGCCGAACACGGACACACACACGGACACACACACACCACGGACAGGGACACACACACGGACACACACACGGACAGCACTTGGCCTGATTCGACCTTGATGCAGGGCGCACCCTTCGGCAGCCACATCCCGCCTGAGACCTTTCTGTTCGAGGGTTAACGCCTCTGTTGGTTTATTTTTAAATGATGTGAAGCGTCACTTGATGTTTGGTGTGGACGATAATAAAATGGTGGTGGATAAAAAAAGCACACAAAGCGGGGGGGTTGATATTTCCGGGTCTGAATTCCAGAATACACCACGACCCAAAACCACCCCAACTCCTACCACACACACACCACACACCACCCACAGACACCACCCCAACTCTCACCACACACACCACCCACACACCCACCCACACACACACCACCCACACAAACACACCACCACCCCAACTCTCACCCCACACACACCACACCACCCCAACTCTCACCCCACACACACCACCCACACACCACCACAAACACACCACACACACCACCCCAACTCTCACCACACACACACCACCCCAACTCTCACCACACACCACCACACACACACCCACCCCCTCCACCACACACACCACCCACAGACACACACCACCCCAACTCTCACCACACATCACCCATCCACACACACACCACCCACCCACCCCACCCACATACACCACCACACACCACCCCAACTCTCACCACACACACACCGACGCTGCTTGTGTGGTGAATCAAATTCGAGCGCGAGATATAAAAAGGTGACGTTTTAGGCAGTGGTCCTCGTTCTTTATGGCACAGGGAACATCTACACAATGTGTGTACCCGGGTATGAAGAATGCGGGCTGTGGCCCGAAACGTCTATTATTTATATAAACTAAACGATGTTTTTTCGATTTAAAGCTTTCGTGACTGCAGGGATTCATCTTCTTGGTTCTTTCGGTAAAGTCACGTAGAAGGGAAGTAATAAAATAATACTTTTATTATGTTTTATTTTTATAATTTTATTATGTTTTATTTTTATTATTTTATTACTTCCCTTCTACGTGACTTTACCGAAAGAACCAAGAAGATAAACGATGGTTTATTTACCAGGTAATAAGGCCCCACTGAGTTATGTAGCTCTTGTCAGAAGCGACCTGGCGACAAATGACATCCCAGCGAAGTGGCTGATGCCATCATCACCATCGTGTGATATGTATAGCAGGCAAATACTGTAAACGCGTTAAGTTGATTCATAAATGTGGAGGGGGATAAATCCACGAGACCACGGGGGAGGGTGAAAGAGACGCAAACTCCAAATATACAGCAGCAGGCATTGTCATGGTCGGGATCAAACCCACGACCTCCTGTACACCAGGCGAGGGAGTAAACATCTCCTAGCCACCGCGATACAGACGAGTCTATAGAAGATGGCCGAGTGGGAGCCCAAGGCCACCCTCCGTGAGTGATCGTGGGAGGTTCACGTCGCGTTCTTTACCGAGATGGGCCGCGAGCGTTCCCAGCGGCAGCTGCCGGGGACCCCTCCTCTAAGTTCTCCAACGCGGGTTCGAGCACGGGCCTGGCTCTACCTCAAGGGTGGCACAGTCGGGTTTCATATTAAACCCGATCATCTGAGATTGGGAGAAATCCGGTTAAGTTGGTTCTAATTGCAGAACCGCCAACTTCTCAACGATGGGCTTCATCCATTCCAAGCTCAGGAATTCACTGGCGCCCACGATTTCGGAAGAGAAGCTCTTGCTCATCGAGACCAACCTGCCCGCATTCTACCACTACCCCGTGCCCGACGGCCCGAGTACGATAATAGCAGCACGGACGAGGAAGCAGCCTAAGCCTTGGATCAGAGTTTCGTATTCATTAAACCAGGTTTTAATTCCCCGAAATCGGGCTTAATTGTATTAAAGAAAAAACCCGATGCCTGCCGCTGGAAAATCGGGTTTTTTCCACCCATGCTCTACATGAGCCCCCGCTGACGCCGAACGTCAAAACCAGACCTTGCAAATGAACACCTGGACACTTTACCCCCAGACCAGGAGCCTGAACAGACGTGGGGCAAGTGCTGTTAGCGGCACCGACGGAGGGCGGAACTGCACACGAGGGGGTTGGGGTGGCTCTCACCACGCCGCGTCTCTATTTGGCGCTCCCATCATTCTAGTTTTTTGAGAGTTTGCTGTTGTGACTTGCTGACCGCGCGCCAATACCGGACGTCACAGCTCATCGGATTCCTCCTCCTAGAGTCGAATATATACTATATACTATCTCTCTCAGGGCTAACAGCACTTGCCCCGACAGTCTGGCAAAAGCTACATGGGCGATCTTTGTCAAGACAGCGTTTATATAGGTCATGTGGCTCAGTGTCACACCCACAGACCGGCCACTTATACTCACATCTTGCCTTCCAAAACAATTCAACTTGTGCTGTAAACCGAGGATGGCGTTGGAGCGGTGGCGCAGTGGTTAGCGCACTACGAGGAAGTGGCCCGAGTTGGATTCGCTAACCGCTGTGCCACCACTCCCCGTTCACGTCAGCGAATTCCTATACCGTACACTCTGCACGAAGACACATACTTGCTCACATACCTCGGCCACACGTATCCTCATACCTTCACGCATGTTAGAAAGGCGGCCGGGCGTGGTGCTGGCCACTCACCCCTCGTGTGCCACAGTGCCGGTAGCCTTCGTCGGTGCTGCTACTCGCTGACAGCACTTGCCCCAATAGTCTGTGAAAGGCTACACAGGGGACCTTTGTCTGTGTCTCCTCGTGTGTGTGCTCTCAAATTACTACCTGGGTGCGGTGCGTACTAAACATCGCCGCTGGGGAGACAAAGGCGGCCGGGCGTGGTGCTGGCCACAACCACCACCTCCCCCCCAACCCCCCTTCGTGTCGGAGTCCCAGACCCTCATAGGCGCTGCTGCTGCTGCTCGCTCTGGCTGGCAGTGCTCTCCGCTGATATCTTGTGGTGGCCACCCCATCAGGAATGGGTCATTTTGTCGGAGCACCTACAGCTAGCCCCGTAGAGCGAGTCCTCGTTTAACGCGCCCGTCGGAGTCGTAGCAGCAGTACGGTGGTAGATGCGCTCCTGAAAAGTGCCGCGTTAAGCGAAACAAATTCCCATTAACATTGAACGCTATGGGAGCTTTTAATATTGATTGCTATGGGAGCCATTAACATTAATCGCTATGGGAGCCTTTTAACATTGAACGCTATGGGAGTCTTTAAAATTGAACGCTATGGGAGCCTTTAAAATTGATCGCTATGGGAGCCTTTAACATTGATCGCTATGGGAGCCTTTAACATTGATCGCTATGGGAGCCTTTAACATTGATCGCTATGGGAGCCTTTAACACTGAACGCTATGGGAGCCTTTAACACTGATCGCTATGGGAGCCTTTAACATTGATCGCTATGGGAGCCTTTAACATTGATCGCTATGGGAGCCTTTAACATTGAACGCTATGGGAGCCATTAACATTAATCGCTATGGGAGCCTTTAACATTGATCGCTATGGGAGCCTTTTAACATTGTTCGCTATGGGAGCCTTTAACATTGATCGCTATGGGAGCCTTTAACATTGATCGCTATGGGAGCCCTTAACATTGTTCGCTATGGGAGCCTTTAACATTGATCGCTATGGGAGCCTTTAACATTGATCGCTATGGGAGCCCTTAACATTGTTCGCTATGGGAGCCTTTAACATTGATCGCTATGGGAGCCTTTAACATTGATCGCTATGGGAGCCTTTAACACTGAACGCTATGGGAGCCTTTAACATTGAACGCTATGGGAGCCTTTAACACCGTACACACAGCGAATAGCAGCTCCTCCATCGTTCCCAGGGAGATGGGGCCAAGGGGTTGAAGTCGACGGCAAATGTCGGTGGTCCGTAGAATTTATTTAGGAGGGTAAAACGCATAAGCAGCAGGTCATTCCTGACATGCAATACTCTGGAGTCTACAAACTGAGTTGTACCTGCGGTAGCAGCTACATTGGGGAAATGAAACGACATATCTCGGACCGGGTACGCGAACACAAGGCAGATCTGAAACACGGCAGAACCAATACCTCTGCCGTAGCTGACCATTGTCATAACGCTGTGGGCTCGCATGATATGTTTTTTTCCGAGACCAAGGTGCTCTGCAAGCCGTTGGGCTACCTTCAAAGATTTGTACATGAAGCCATCCAGATCTATAAACACAGAGATAATTTCAACTGGGAAGATGGATACGAATTGAGCAACCACTGGAAGGATGTTATCAACCAGGTAAAACCTGAACTGGTCGTGATTATTTCCAACTTTCTGAGTTACATTTCCAAGTGAAATGTCTTTACGTTGACAGACTATATCCCTCTGGCCAGCTCTCCCGTCGCCGCCGCAGATCTTACTCTGCCCCCCCCCCCCATCTCTAGCCCTGCCCATGTATTCTACTCAAATAGTCAACATAACCTCGTGCCACAGCAGCTCTCTCGCCTACTTCAGCAGTTTTTTCTTGCCGTAGTTGTCCCACCTGATGACGATTGCTTGTGTTGCGATCGAAACGTCGTGATTTTTTTGATTTTATTTCTACCTACGTGATTTACCGAAAGAACGAAAGAGTACAGAAAAAAACTATTGGACAAATTTGGTTAACACAAAAAAATGCAAAAAAACGAGTTTGCTGCAAAAAAAAATAGAATCGTTGTTGTTTCTAAATGTTCTGCGCATCAAGCGGCAAGTGGCGGAGCAGAGCTGCCGTGAGCCGGACCTGCGCGGGTGGCAGTGCTTTTATCAGAATCTCTATTTAGACTGCAGGAGGAATCCGATTAGCTATGAAGCTCTTTTCACAGATGTCCAGTAGGGGCGGGTCAAAACGTTACAATACAAAAACACGATAGGACTGCAAAGTACAAGAAAGGTAAATTAATCACTCTAACACCTACAAATAAACCAAAGTCATACCCACCCTACCAGACAAAGCCCACTGAGGTATTTTATTATTTTTCAAAAGCAAGCTGGGCAGAAATGAAGGCTCAACGAAGTGGCTGATCATTTGGACATTTGTTGCAGCAAAATAATCTAAACACTCGAAACGCATTTTCTAAATGTGGAGGGATAAACCGGAGGACGCGGAGAAACAACGCGACCACGGGAGGACGTGCAAACTCCACATAGTCACAGGCGTCAGGGTCGGGATCGAACCCCCGACCTCCTACATACCATGCGAGGAGGATAGCATCTCGTCACAGTGGCGCAACTTCAATAAATAAGTAGACAAGTTCAGCTTGCACCA